GGATGCCTGAAACTATGGTTAGTACTGAACCCTATATATGCTATGTTTTTTTCTGTATGTGTATACATACCTATGATAAAGTCTAATTTGTAAATTAGGCACAGTAAGAGATTAACAACAGTAATAATGAAATAGGAAAATTATATATATTGTAAAAAAAAGTATGTGAATGTAGTGTCTTTCTCCCTCTCTGTCTCTCAAATGCTGTACTGCAGTCATCTTTTTTCAGTTGATCACAGGTAACTGAAATCGTGGAAAGCTACACTGTGGATATGGGGGGGACTACTGTACTTTAAAATACAGTACATATCATATAAAATATATGCCAAAATATACTAAATATATACCAAAATGTTAACAAATTTAATTCTTGAGACTATGACAAAAATTTTAAATGTCATCTAAATGCCTCAAAAAAACATGATTTTGAGATTTTGGTTTATTAAATAATTCTCTCAGGGTTCCTTATAAATGTTAAGTTCCCCTAATATTCTATAAATATTAAGTTGATTTATATGCAAGTTTAAACAGATAGTATAAATCAGGAAAAACCTGACACACCAGTTTTTGTAGGTTCATTATATTTATGTCTCTCAGGATTAAAAAAAAAATCAGCTTTCTAAATTTTAGGAAGAATTACATATAAATATAAAATCTGATTTTATTTTTCTCTTCGAGTTACATTTTCTTCATTTATCTAATGCTGGACAAATTCTACACTGTCAAATAATTTATTATATGAAAAATCATCTGCAAAGTATGAGTAGAATATTTAGACAATAAATCTACATTAAAGCATGAACATACCTGGAGTATTGCTCATAGCAGCAGTAGTACTGGCCAAAACAGGTGTGACAACTGGAGGAGGAATCCCTGCTGCCATATCCAAAAGAGGCTGAATAATCTCGCTCTTAAATACATTATTCTTCTGCCACAAGTTTAATACTCTCACTATTTTACTCTAGAGGGAAAAAAGAAAAACATCATCTTATTTTTTGCTTTCAAAACCTTAGCAAAGCCATCTTCATAGAGGCTATTAAGGAACTGGATGGAAAAGAGGAATTAAAACACTTCCATGCTACTTTCTACCCTGAAATTCTGTTTTCTATCATTTTGCATTTGCTAGCCATAACTCTCTTAGGAAAAAAATGTTAATTCTGATATACAAGATAAATGAAAGCTACATTTACTTGAAGACAAAGATGACAACTAGGCTTCCTCTTCTATGTCAATTCTAATGAGATGGATGGCATCATTGGCTGGAGAACTATCTTAAGGATTCTGAAGCAGAGTTGAGAATTCATCTCAGTACTACTAGAGTTGTATTTCCAGTTGATTTTAACTTTGTCTCATACAACGTCTACCTTTTGAACAAATAAGTAATTTCACGACAAAGTCTTTATCTAATGTGACTTTTAAAATTTTCATTTTACCAAACTACTTAAGGGGAGAGCATTTCCTCATATAAGAATTTAACCAAATTACTTCCTTTCTAAGCATATTGCCAGAAATTCTAATTCCCTACTGGTACTATAAACCAGAGACAGACAAACTTCTCTACAAATAGAATCTGAAGCATATCCATCTCTCTTCTCTCTTCATTGTGTCTTTTCCTTATTGTTTACTACTCCCTCTCTGCTGTTGTAGAATGTCAGTGCCATACTGGTATTACTTAATCTGGCTCTCAGAATGATAAATAATGCTCTACATTATTTCATTTCTCACAATAATGAGTCCTCTACCACTCTGTGAAGAAAAAAAACATTTAAAAACCTGCTTTCTACTGGCAAGTAGACTTGGCATCACTGAACCATCTCAGTGATTTTCCTTCAGCTGCAGCATTGCATTCAATTTAATCTACCCAATAAAGAGTCTCAACATTGCTCACCCCAAACCCCACTCCAATCCCTTTACTACCAAATATATCAACTTTCTGTTTTAGTCTCACCCTTTCTGGATTATTTAAATATTCGGAATACTCTGTATTTTTGATAAATTTCCAGTCAGTCATGTAATATTTATGGTAGCTGCTATAAAATTCAAGAAATATACACTATCTAGATAACCTTTCTGATTACCTTGGTCTCAGGCTGTGTCAATAAATTAAAAATAAATAAACCTTAGTGTCCCCATTTATAAAATAAGACTATATATGAAGGATTCTCTCCACCTTTTTCTCAATCTCAAATTGTGTCAAACTGTTTAGGCTGGCTAGTATCTTAAATGCCCTAACCACTTGCAAATTTTGATCATCATGGGACAGAAATGTGCCTTATTTACTAGTTATAGCTCTTCTTACAGCAACACTATGAAGCACTGCTATTTAATTACTTATACTCTAATCCTGGTCCAAAACAGATTTCATACGAAATTTTATTTAGTTGTGAAATTCTGTTTAATTGCTGCCTGTCTCTTCCATTATAGTCTGTGTATTGTAAACTTAAAAAGACTGAGTATTACTGACTTCTATTTCTTGGGTCATTCTGAAATCTAATAACATAATTAGTAATATTTAGGGAGAACTTCATAAGCAGAAAAATTCCTACCTAAATGTCTCCCTTGGTTGCATTAGAAGTTTTACAGACCCTGAAAGCTTCAGATTTATAGGCAGAAAAATATGCCCAACAAAGAAGAATGTCGATGTTCTACAGTATTTTGGACGAAACATCAACTGGTCCATCTATTATGTCTTGCTTCTTGAAATACAAATGTACTTAAATAACAGTCATAGTATCATGAACTCATATTGTTATTACTAAAAGCAGAATGATTGGATTACATAACTATTTTCTTGATATTGTCACCAATTTGATTCACAACTGTTTAACACAAAAGTTCTGTAAACAAGCACTAAGTACTAGTTACTACAACGGTGATGCTACTTATTTCATTAGGAAAAAAATATTTAAATGACAGAGGCTAAAATTAAATATAAAAAAGAACATTCTGTTAAATGCATATATTTTATAAGGTAAAGTAGCCACTTTCAGAATTAAGATCAGGTTCATCTTTAAATCCCTCATAATATTACACTGACCTATTTTTAAACTATGTTCAAACTACAGTAATGTACAAATTATTTCAATTGAAACATAATAAAATTATACAAAGAATGCTTCATACCTTCTGATTTGACTATTTCTCCTTTCTAAAACATGGGCACTGGCAAAGTGCCTTACATTCTTTTGCTTTATATAAAAATCTTTCAGTTTCCAAGACACTCTTCATGCACTTCAAAATTGGCCACTACCTAACAACTATTTTATTTATATATATATATATCCCCAAATAAATAATACCTCTCATTTATGACTGAGATTACAGTATTAATGTATTCTTTCCTCTTGTGGTTAAAAAAAAGAAGAAAAGCCCTATTCCATAAACCCTATTATAAATGAGATATTATACTATGAAACCTACAAATTCAAGACAGATTTATTCACTGTAATTAATAAAAATCCAAGTCTAAACTAGTGAAATTTCTAAGTCAAAGTGTTTAAAGTTACTTTAAAAAATGCTTATATAAAATTTCAAATTAGCAAGTTATTTCAGGTGGGATTCTAAGGTACCTATTTTGAAAATCAGTTAAGATAGTCACTTAAAATGAGAAGCACTCTTTTTTGCCTGCATAGAATTACCAAAATATCAAAGTAATTAAAAACAAATACTTTTTATCTTAAGAAGTATATCCAAGAATAGTTCACAAAATATACTATAACGAATTTATCTCCACATCTATACATTGTAACAAGATTTTTTGATTCGAGACTACAATATTTATTAAAAACAGTAATTATCTAATCTTGTTATATTTGAGATGAGGTGGAAGGTTTGTGGTGAGCTTTTAACTTTTGTGGTTCTTCCTTAAAGCAACCATTTAGTCTTTATCTATTCTTATCTTTTCTTAATCAACATTGCAACCAATCCTGTTAGAAAAGCACACCTAAATTTCCAAATCAGCACCTAAAATAATAACCTTCTAACATCTCAGGGCACATATCAGGATAAACAACTCTTTTTTATTCCCCTCAGGATCCAAAGCTTTCTTTTTACTTGTTATTATACAATATTCACACATTCAGATCTAATAGATCTAATAGTGTGATGTCTAGCATCAATAAAAATCCTACCATAACAAAATAATTTTGATATATGGTTATTTTCTATTGATTGCTTGGCAAATCCATTTCTCACAGACACTGAAATGTTAAATATTAGTTCAAGTCAAATAATCACAATTCTGAATTGGCTGTGTGTGTGAAGAAATGTTCAGTGTAATTCCAAAAACTTTATTGTAGCAGTTTCTTTAACATCAATTACTTCAACAAATTAAATAGTAGGAAAATCAACTTTATCTTTCTACTCTGTTTAAGAAATTCTGAGAACAAAAAGGAACACGGATATTTTAGTAATTAAACATTCAAATTTGAATTAACTAAAAGTAAATGAAAACATAAAACCATATACAGTTATGCATTGCCAAACAACGGGCATACATTTTGAGAAATGCATCGTGAAGTGACTTTGCTGTCCAGAGAATATCAGAGTATACTTAAACAAACCTAGATAGTATAGCCTACTACATACGATACAGCCTATTGCTCCTACCCTATAAACATGTACATCATGACACTGTACTGAATACTACAGGCAACTGTAACACAAGGGTGTTTGTGTATCTCAACACAAGAAAAGGTACAGTAAAAATACAGTATTATAATCTTAACAGGACCATGGTTGTACGTGTGGTCTGTTGTTGACTGAAACACTATTATGTGGCATGTGACTATATTTAGATAATCTAAAGACTAATTAAAGACAAAGAAGGTAATGTATCTCCTTTAAAAAAAAAAATAGCAGCATACCTTGTCATCCCCAGGGCAACGATATAAATTCTGGAAAGTGCTAATGATGTTATTACTAAATCTGGGCGCAAACACATCCTTTTCTTGACCAAACTGATGTCGGGATTGTCGCACAATGGAGTCAATAACATAAAGTCCAGGTACCTTGTATTCTGGTTTACACTGATGAAAAAAAGAAGAATGAGAAGGGAAGGAAATGTAAAGGTAAAATTCTTGATAGAAAAAAATCATCATAAATCTCACATAAACACAAAAACACTGCCCATGCTGAGGTAATGAATATTCAGACACTGACTATTCCAGGCCGTCAGTCTCTGGAATGGCATTTTAAACAATCTATTTTGACTACTCATTCAGTTCAACTACCAGTCACCTAAATTCTAAAACAGTACTGCATAACTGGCTTCAATGACAAAAAACAAAATGATAAATAAGGTATTGTTGTAACTTAAAAAATTTAATTATTTTAAAAAGCTACATGAAAGGAAGAAGCAAACTCAGCAAAGAGGGGCTCTAGAAAAAGCACTGTCAACATGCCTTAGACTTCATCTGAAACACGTAACAAAAGAGTTTCTATACTAATGAAAGAATACCAAACAGCAAATTATAACATTCTAAATATACCAAGAGCAAATTTTCAATTTTTTTCTCAAATACCACATCTATAAGAGGTAAGACACTACCATTTTAATTCTGGGAATCTATCCTATGAAAACATTTTCAGCTACTCCACTAGCTCAATGTTTCTCAACCATCTTATCAATTACCCATTTTGAGAAATACAAAAGTTCCCTACTTTCTCACCACAGGCTTCGCCAGCCTAGGTA